AAGCATCTCCATAGTACAGAGCATTTGTTTATCAAAAATGTATAACAGAGCATTTTGACAGTTGCATGCATGAGAGCGTAAACGCAATGATCGATTCTCTTCGTCGAATTTCTCTTTTGTTAATAACTTGCTAGAGGCAGGAGAATGCGAAACGCGTCATCACCGGTTAACGAAGACAAGGAGTACTCAGCCAGCTGGATATTCAGCTTCGCGCGGAAAGTGTGCCCGGATTCGGTGTCGGTTCAAACCAACGTTCGTGATCGTCCGTCGGGTAGTAACGGAATAGATTCTCCGTTTTCGATGGTGGAATACTCACTTGCTCTCATCTCATGTAACAACTCAGCTCCAGGAATGGATAGAATCAAGTTCAACTTGCTTAAAAATCTCCCAGACGTCGCGAAGAGACGCTTGTTGAACTTATTCAATCAATTTCTGAAGCACAACATTGTTCCGGATGACTGGTGGCAAGTAAGAGTTATCGCCATCTGAAAACCCGGCAAACCAGCGTCGGATTATAACTCGTACCGTCCTATCGCGGTGCTGTCCTGTATACGGAAATTGTTGGAGAAAATGATTCTTTTTCATCTAGACAAATGGGTCGAGTCGAATGATTTACTTTCAGAAACGCAATTTGGATTTCGGAGAGGCAAAGGAACGAGCGACTGAAATCCAACTGGCCTATGCGCAAAAAACAGCAAATGGATTCAGTTAAGGGGGCTTTTGATTCTGTTTGTATCGACGTCCTTTCGGATAAACTCCACGATAGTGGGCTTTCACCAATTATGAACAACTATTTGAGCAACTTGTTGTCTGAGAAATATATGAGCTTTTCTCATGGAAACTCGACAACTTCACTAGTTACATGGGTCTCCACCAGGGCTCATGTTTAAGCCCCCTTCTTTAAAGTTTTTATGTTTAAGCTATTGATGGTTGTCTTGATGAAAATTGCTCGCCAAGGCAGCTTGCAGATGATGGCGTTGTGTCCGTTATAGAGCCAAGTGCACCGGACCTGCAAGGACCATTGCAAGATACCTTAGACAATTTGTCTTCTTGGGCTATGAAGCTGGGTATCGAATTCTCTCCGGAGAAAACTGAATTGGTTGTTTTTTCTAGGAAGCATCATCCTGCACAGTTACAGCTTCAGTTAATAGGTAAAACAATAACTCAAAGTATTTCTGGTTCGTGTCTGGTTCGATTCCAATTCGTGTCTGAAACAAAAATTGCCTGAAAAGGATTAATTTTCTTCGTACAATTACCGGAACTTGATGGGGATCCCACCCGGAAGATCTGATCAGGTTGTACCGAACAACCATCCTTTCGGTTTTAGAGTACGGCAGCTTTTGCTTCCAATCCGCAGCAAAAACACACATCCTCAAACTGCAACGGATCCAATACCGTTGGCTTCGTATTGCGCTAGACTGTATGCATTCGACTCATCCCAAGTAATATTGTAAGTTTGATCAAGGTTTTAAAGCGTTCTACAAGTCCAATTCATGGTCTACAGAACCCTAATAAAACCAAAACTGTTTCTTGGGATACGATGAGCCTCGAAGTACTCGCGGGTGTTCTCCCACTGACAGATCTTTTCGCGGAACTGTCCTTCCGGTTGCTTATTCGTTGTGAAGTAATGAACCCATTGGTAACAGAAAACTTTGAGAAGCTGCTCGACAGAAATCCTCAAACAAGATTCATGAGTCTCTATTACGAGTATTCCTCAATTTCTCTCGTGTTTGCGTCCAAGACTTTTATAGTTCCTCTGTAAATTTTGATCTGACCATGTTGCAAGAAATCCGTGGAATACCAGATCATCATCGGTCGATGGTTGTTCCCTTAATTTTTGCAAACAAGAACCACCATGTCAGTAACAATAGAAGTTTTTTTTTTTCACAGATGGGTCAACTATAAACGCTTCCACTGGATTTGGAGTATTCAACGAATTTCATAGCGCCTCATATGAACTGCAAAAACCCTGTTCCGTATACGTTGCGGAACTCGCAGCCATATTTTACGCAGTAGAGCGAAGTGCCTCACTACCTTCTGACCATCAATTTCATTTTTACGGATAGTCTTAGCTCATTGGAGGCTATTTGTTCAATGAGGCCGATGAAGCACTCCTCGTATTTACTGCCTGAAAAACGATCTAAACTGAGTGCTTTATCCAACTGCTCCTATAAAGGGCGAACACGAAATTATTGCGACACCGAAAATGTCATGCCAATTTTCTTATAATGTTTAGAATCAAACCAAAATTTTAGGGTAGTTTTATACATATATTTACTTCAAAAATCAAAAGAAAAGTTAATCGATGGAGCCTTGAGTGTAAAATTGAACGCATTTTCGCTTGATGCCCTCCATCAAAGTCTTTACAGTGTCATCCGGTACCAGTTTCTCAGTTTTTTTTTCCATTTTCTTAACATGTCCTTCTCGTCTTTGACTGTCTTCTTGCTCTTCCGAAGTTCCCGCTTCATTATTGCCCAGTACTGCTCCACCGGGCGCAGCTCCAGACAGTTTGGCGGATTCATGTCCTTTGGAACAAAATGGACAGAATTGGCCTCATACCACTCCAGGACACTTTTAGAATAGTGGCATGATGCCAAATCTGGCCAAAATAGCGGAGCTTCGTCGTGCTGCTGCAAGAACGGCAAAAGGCGCTTCTCGAGGCACTCAGATTTGTAGATCTCGCCATTTACTGTGCCCTTTGTCACGAAAGGCTCACTCCTCAGTCCGCAAGAGCAGATGGCCTGTCAAATGAGATATTTGGAGGCGAACTTCGACATTTTCTTCTTCTTAAATTTGTCGTCCACATCGAACTTGCTCTTGCCGGTGAAAAACTCCAACCCCGGAATTTGCTTAAAATCGGCTTTTATATACGTTTCGTCGTCCATCACACAGCAGCCATATTTTGTCAGCATCTTCTCGTAGAGCTTCCGTGCCGAGTTTTAGCCGTCGATTGTTGCCGCTCATCGCGGTTTGGGAAGTTCTGTACCTTGTATGTATGTAGTCCAGCTCTCTTCTTTGCATTCTGGACGTAGGTCTGCGACATGCCGATCTTTTTAGCCAAATCACGGCTTGAGACGTTGGGATTTGCTTTAATCATCCGCTTCACCTTTCCCTCCGTTTTTTGTTCTCCGGTCCCGGTTTTCTTCCAGCTCCTTTGCCGTGGTCCAACGTCAACCGCTCCTGGAACCGCTTCAACACTCTGGAGACGGTTGAATCAACAATCAATACGAAACTAACGATTTTAAATTGGCTCACCACTTTAGTAGCCTATTGGTCCCAAGCAAACGATTAACGTACCCTATTCTAGTTGAAATTTTATTACTACACTATGTTTGTTTTGATTCGCTATGAAAGTTTGACAGATAACATCAGGGGTGTGTGGATTCATGCAGAACATGCAGGGGTGAGAGAAATAGCTTGGGACTGCTTGAGACCGTTGTTCTGGTACTGAGTGAGCCAAAAATAATAATGATTTTCTTCGGGACCCAGTGGTCTTAGAGTTACCTCTATGGTTGAATGGTGAATGTTCAACATTTTTCCCAACTGCCGGTGCGACAGGTCAGGAAATTCCAGGTGTTTGGAAAGAATTTGTTCTCTCAACTCACGTTGGTTCACCTCCATTTTCGTTGAATCGAAAAACACGACTTCGAGTTTGACAGCATGTTCACAATACACATCAATGAGAAAGTGTGCAAAATTTGGTTGATTTTTACCCAATGGTAAAAAAGTTATGCCCTGTTGAATGTGTCGCAATAATTTCGTGTTCGCCCTTTATATGTTTCAATGCACATTTTGTTGGTGAAATTTAAGTGGAATAGTGCGGAATACTTGCTTGTATATTGTTGTCAAAAACATCGTTACAGGATTGTAAATTAGGAGGATTTAAATATTTTGACCTATAATTTGTCGCTTTATTACCCTGGTGTCTACTGTGGATTTTTTGCTTAAATAAAGGTCCTTACTCTCCTTATTTGAGCTTCTCTGTGTGCTCATTATTCTCGTCCAAATACATTCTTGAGAATTCAACTGTGCAACTTTTGATTTTAAACAAAACCTTTTTTTTAATGGATTCACACATTTTAGGCTGGTGCTGTTCTTAAACCACGTAGACACTTTGTTGAGCCCCTCTCGAGTGTCTACGATCCATACAAATTAACGGAAATGTTAATGGATTGTTCGCGCAAGGGGAGGGAGAGGAGGGTGTCAAATCCTCTCAAAATCTGTAGAGATTATGAAGAAATTACAAGATAGGAGCAATATCAATAATTTTTAAGAAAATCATTGGGTACATTGGGTGAAGTTGATCAGTGTACCGTAAAATTTTTGATTCTTATCAATTCTTTTTCATGATATTTTTATAAGATAATTTGTTCACTCTTTTATTAAGTAGTTTTAAATAGTACTCCTTATAATTCGATCATAATCAACATTTATTCTGTCACTGAGCTCGGCTAAATCACTTATTTTACTTAATAGTGACTCGCTGAATTCTTATCTGAAATCAGATTTAATTGAAATTAACGATTTAGTACTAAACAAATGATTTGATGTGAAAATGCTTACATTTAGGCGTATTGTTTAAACTATTTTGCGATAAAATATGCAGCTCATTCGCAAACCACAACATTTTGATAAAATTTTAGCACCAAATTCTTCCTCAGCGAACACAAATTAAGTAAAAATACTGAATACTGAATATTTCATAGCAATACACCCTGAATGGTCAACTTCACCCCAGAATTGCTAAAAATATAAGCTTTGGGTTTGCATGCTTGCAATTTTTACTTAATTTTAATTCTTTTTGCATTTGCTAAGTAGTACGATAGTACTATCGGTTTAACATGTATTTGTTTTGTGTCAAATTTAAGGTTGATGAATATTCGGATTTTTCGGAAAAAGTGATCAATTTCCCCCCATTGTACGATACGTAAAAGTTAACCAATGACAGATTGCATTTCCGATATCAATATACCCGCACCACAACGAATAAATTACGTTACCTGTATTTCCTGGAGTCATGAATCATGTGTCCATCCTCCCGGGTCCAGTAGTTCAGCGACGTCGGGTGTGCCTCGGTGAAACACTCCAAGGTAATATTGAAACTGAGAGGCACTCCTACCAGTTGATGTGGGATCCAAAGCATCGGCGGAACTGATGAAGACAGATAAATGCAAACAAAACGTTAGGTCGTCAGCGTCGTGTGAGTGGGAAAGTGTGCGACCCAAATTAAGTCACGTTCATCAAATGCATCACATTCATGTCCTGGGAAGGCTTCCCACTCGCATGGTAGTCGCTGGTACCGGCTGTTGTTGATTTCAATGTCTCATTACTATGCTTTGAAGGGTTCATCCTGTACTGATGATGACGACGACTTTGTGTTTGCCAGCAATCAATGGATGGAAGGTAGAAATTAGTAGATGAGTGACTGAGTCTGCGGTGGAACCATACACGATGGTAGAAAAAGTTTACATATCATAATATATCCTCCAATTTGGTGTCAATGACGAAGCGAATCCGCCCTCGTAATAAAGAAAAAGAGTCGAGCTTCGAAAAGTCAGTCTGCGAACGGTTACATTTATTGTGCAGGGATGAATTTTTAATGCAATTCACGTATTTTATTACTTCCGAGACTGGGGGAGGTGTAGTCACTTTTGCAAGTCTGCTGGGATGCAGAGGCAATGCTGTTGGAATGTGTCGTCTAGTTCTATCGTTGAACTTGACTTTTTTTTTGCTTGTTAGAGTATGGGGTGATATCGTTCTACTGCTATAGGGAGTTGTAAAATTTGGAATGAATTGTAGCACTAGCGCTCGTAGATTTTTATTTGTACGACATCGTTTTTTTAAGTGGAAAGTTTTGAAAAATATATTATATTTGTTAAATTACAATACATAGCTTGATAAACAAAACAAATCCAACTTATAGAGTAAATATTAAATTTAATTCAGCTGACTACTTAAGCCAAAGGATTGCCACTTTGCCACTATTTATCCCTGTCACATGGTTTCAACGATTGTAATTTGCTTCAGTCCTTGTAATTATTGCCCAATCTATGGGACAGCACACAGTGCGAGAAATTTCTATGAGCGCATGGTCATTTGCCGATCTTATTTTCCATTCAACTGTCAAACCCAAAGCATATTTTTTTTCCTTGGTTTGTTTTCCGTGCTGAGCACCAATGCTACCGACGTGCCAGGAAGGCAGCTCTCACACCTGGACCCTACCTATCGACCCATCAACTCATGAACCGGGGACCAACGGCTTTACTTCCCATCCGAATGAAGGCGTGATCAGAGATGTTATGCCTCAGAACATCCCGGCGGCGCCGACTGGGATTGAACCCAGGCCTGCTGGGGTGAGAGGCAATCACGCTTACCACTACACCACCGGCGCCGCTAACCCAAAGCATATGTATTGATTGTAGTAGACAGTTGAACAATGAGTTTTTACTACTAGGCAGTATATTTATGTCTCAATTTTTATTTAATACTAGTTGGTTCGTGGACGCCGTGGCGCCCGTTGTAGCTTGTTTTGTTAGCAAATAATCGTTCCATAAACTTGCTGAAATGCTCCATAAACTACGTTGCCTTCAGATTAATTGTCCTATTCATGTTTTTATGAAATAGAGGAGCATAGTGATGATCAACCCAATAGAATTTTATTTGGAAAGCTTTGGTTAGAAGCATCTAGAGGAAGCATGCCCGTCGCTACGCTCCTCTATCTAAAAAAAAAAACATGGGCAGGACAATAAATTTGAGGGCTACGCGGTAATTGAGCAATTATTCGCTTTAAACGCTGCAAAAACCTTTTTCCAAAGGCATTGCATCGATGTTTAGGGAAATCTAATTAATTAAAGATGGAGAAAAAACTCCTACTGAGCCGTCGAACGGCAAACTTGCAATCATTACTCAACCATTTGGTGAGAAATTTCAAATGCTTTGGAAAGTTATAACTTGTACTTTTCATCAGCACCAGAACTTTTGAAATTCGTCAATAAATGTATGTGTTATGATTTTTCAAAAGTTCAGCGTCTTTTCAAGAAAACCTGCTCATCTTTACTTTTTTCATCCACGAAGCATTTTTTTGTTGTCACGCAACATTTTCAGGCCTTAAATTCTAAATATCATTTCACACAACATATAGGGGAAATGGCTCTAATGTTGGCCTATGGATCTAAGATTGGGCCCATCGCTAAAAATATGCTATATATCAATTTTATCTAGATGAACGCGTCATTGGGACGGTACTAATGGATGTTTTTGGTCGCTATTGAAAATTTAATCGTTTGCTTAATTTATGTATAGCATAGCATAGCATAGCATAGCATAGCATAGCATAGCATAGCATAGCATATGCGATTGTACAAATCGTGGGTGGCTATATAATGGTCAACTAATACGTTTTTAATCGTTTGCTTAATTTATGTATGGCCCAAATTAGGAGCATTTAGGCCGACATTACATACATTTCCCCTACAATAATTAAAAAGCGTATCTTACGAAAAATAAACGAAAATAGAATCAGAACATAATAATTTAAAATCGTGGTCCATAGCATAAAAAATATCGTCCTTGGGCATGCGGTCATCCGATGGTAGGCCAAGTCCTCGTCAGAAAGATGACTGGGGGGGGGGGGGGACAGTTACTCACCAATTTCATTGGATCATTGAAGCGTTTCATCGTAGTTCAAATGATATCATTGGCTTACATGAAGCGGATGGGATCATGCTGACCATACAAAGTGTTGCGAGACTCGAGCATCAAAAATCACGGTGGCGAAGGATTCGTTCCGGTGCGTAAACATTAAGCAACGCGAGGATCTCCGATGAATCCGTATCCCCCTACAGGATCTTTGCCACAAAAACTGCTTTAGCAGTGCATCTTATTTTCTCCAGAGTTTCAATACCCAGCAGTCTACAACGGTCTTCGTAATGTGGTACCTGGAGGGGATCTCGCCACGAACGCTCACCTAGGGCATATCTCACGAACTTTCTTTGTATTGCTGCGATTCTAACAATCCACATTGACTGATAAGGGCACCAAACTACAGCATTGGATTCAAGGATCGATCGCACCAAAGCGCAGTATAGCGAACGAAGACAGTGTGGGTCACGGAATTCGTTGGTTAATTTGAATATGAATCCACGCTGCCGATTGGCTCTAGAGATAATGTCGTTGTAATGTAATCTAAAGGTGAGCGCTGAGTCAACGATAACACCTAAATCCCGTACTGGATGAACACGCTCAAGAGGCTGGTCGGCGATGTAATAGTCATGAATAATCGGCTTCAGTTTCCTGTGGAACGATATGACGTTGCACTTATGAATGCTTAATGTAAGCATATTTGAAGTAAAACGCTGTCCAGACTGGAGAGTTATAACATGTTATAACGGTTGTCAAATAATTGCAACACAGAAACCACCATCAAGATAGCGCTATAACATGTTATAACTCTGTAGTCTGAACGTACTATAAACCATTCAGCGAAACGATCGATTAACTGTTGTAATGCGAGGTAGTCCAGAAGACTATTCACCACCATGTAAATTTGGACATCATCAGCATATAACAATCGGCAACCTGTGGGCAGTGTCTTAGATAGCTCATTTATGAATGTAGTAAACAACAGAGGACCCAAGTTACTGCCCTGAGGTACGCCTGATAAGTTGGTGAACGGGTCAGATGATTCATTTCCAATCTTCACAATTAGCTTCCGATCCGTTAGATAAGATTTGAACCAGTAGGCCAATGATGATGAAACACCGAGACGTTCAAGTAAGATCCCATGGTCAACACGATCAAATGGAGATTTAAGGTCGGTATACACAGCGTTAACTTGTTTGCCATTGTCCAACGAGCGCAAGCAGAAAGAAGTAAACTGAATGCGGTTCGTAGATGCAGATCTCTTGGGATAAAAACTGTAATTCTTACAGGAACCAAACAGTATATCATTGATGATGATCTCAAAAATCTTCGAGCTAGCGCACAATGATGTTGCGTTTGTTTCCTTTTTGGGGACTGGGAACATAACGGATGCCTTCCAGCTGGAGGGAAATCGGTGCTCTCGCATAGAAGCATTAAACAGTACTGTTAAAGGATGAATCAGAGCGTCTCAGCTCTCTTTTCAAAATGCATGAAGGGATACCATCATGGTTAGGTGATGTGGAGTATTTCAGTTTGTCGATGGCAGATTTAATATGCTGGGGAGTAATCCGGAAATTTTCTAGAGGGCAAACTTCGCTAGGTGTGTCTCTGCATGCATTTTCGACTTGAGCTGAAGACGATGGTGAACAATTGAAAGGACTCTTAAAATTTTTTGCGAACAGATTGCATTTACCAAATGCAGTACTAGCGAGATCGTCACCCAAAGACTGGGAGTTTACGAAATTCCAAAAACTCTTTGGGTTTCTCTGCAATTTATCTTGTATACGCAGGGTGTAGCGTTTGTACAAGAGGCAAATATATGTTGGATATTTATTACTTGTTATAATGGACAACGAGAACTACAGTATTTTCGAAGTGCTTTCGATCTCAACTGCTTTAAATGTCGCAGGTGTGCATTTCCCTAAGCCAGCTTAGGACGAGGTCTACGCAGGGGAACATGATAGGTAATACTGTCATGCATAATATGTGTGAAACAGTCAACAGCGGAATCAATTCTCCAGTGGTATCCAAGTGCAACCAGTCCATGCAGTAAAGTGCTTCTAGCAATCCTTCAATATCTGCTCTACAGAAGTCATAGCTAGGATCATCTGGAAAATCTTCATAAGGTAAACCCCTAGAAACGTTGATTTAGACTTTTAGTAGGGGGTGATTAGCATCGAAAATTGATAAAGGTTCCGCAGTCGAAGATAACGTACATCTTTCCAGTGTCCAGTGCTGGATCCAAAAAGCGACCATTTTGATTTTCGATTGTCTTAATTTGTGTTAGGTTATGCAGACTGAAGCCGTCAAGTTATGCAGCACACGCGAGTGAACGTCTACTGTTGGATGACCATTTCTTGAAGCGTTCCAAACTAAGCCTGACTGGTTATAATCACCATAAAGAAGTGGGTGATCGTTTGCTCCAACGCGCATAAAAATAGCTTCAAGCGATTCGATATGTTTTGTAATGTAGGTCAGATCATTCTAGCAATCAGGCGGAAGGTAGATAA